AGGATGAATGAACATATACCTGTACATCGGAGAAATGATTTTAAACAACAATTATAGAACACGTTTTTCGACCAAATAACCATTCTCCCAGATGAGCCCTGCACCATTTGGAAAATTCAAGTCTAACGGACCAGTTGCCTGTAAAATTAGGTGGTCCCTGCCAAAATCAGGTGGTCTCGGACTAATGGACCGCTAATGTCGAGGCCTGGTTTTAAAATAATGTACTGTTTTGTATATCTATAAGTTATCTAGATTTAGGTGGCCTTTTACTCGATATATTGGAATACATTAAGTCAACAACTCCCAAGTATTAAAATAACATATTGTTTATAGTTTCTTATTTTGTATTATGACTTCTGTGCGGTGCGATTGAATACTAATTTTATCATTAAAAGGAAAATACCTTAACGGGGAATCCAAAACACACAAAATAAAAATGAAAGTTGGATTCCCATCTTAATTTAGCGGTGGTAAAACCCAGATGTTACCACTTTTAGATTAAGTGATGATAATATAAAACTTAACCGAACAGAAATTAATCAGCCTTTCCTACAGCATAAAGTCGGTAAATGCAGTCTGTTTAGGCTTTTTATTGTTACTAACTTTTTGTTTTATTTTTGCATTTTGACATTGAAATCTTGTAAAGTATAAAAATTTACAAAATCAGCCTGATTCTTTAAATAGCCACTGGATATAAATCCGCTTGATAGGGGGCAAAAGTATCACTTTATTTTAATTACAACCTCTTAAAACATGTAGAATAATACTAGATAGGGTCTGAAGAAAAATATTTGAGAGAAAGATTCATTTTTATGAATCGTAAATTGTTTACTAATAATGTAATATGTAATGTAATGTAATTAATTTACAACCTACAAATCATCTACAAAAACACGTTTAGAATATATTAAGTAAAGTTGTGAAAGTTGATATTAATAAAAAACGAGTATGTATAAAGAGCGAAACTTTCATTATATGTCCACAGTTATCTAATATGATTATACATTTTAAAGCGCCTAAAATTACTTTCGTGGAGCTTCTGCCTAATTTCTTCATATTTGATTTTATGGTTAAAAATAAACATGTAATTTAAAAAAACATACCTCAAAACTTTAATCCCCCTTAAATAATATGTTTATCTTGTAAACTAAATATGCTTCAAACACTGTTTCGATAACAGCTACTGATGACAAATTGAAATCCCAAACATCCAATGCAAATAAGCATCAGTGATAAGCGTCCTAAAAATAGCTGAAGCAGAGCATCTGCATTATACGGTGTTCCGTTTGGGCCATCGCGACACGCACATAAGACAAAACAACGAAAATACGAAATAACGATGGCGAAAAATTGAAATACCGAAACCTTGATATTGAAAGTTGAAAATATTTCTTGAGAAATCGAAAACACACTGGGGGTAAAGTCGAAATAAGAAAACCTTGATGGTAAACATTCGATATACATACGTGTTTTCACCGTCGTACTGTCGACCATACAGCATCTAGAAACAAGTTATAAATGTCATTGTAAATGATTAGAATGTTATGACGTATATAATTGTACATTGTCAGTTGCTAATATTACTATTTATTTCTGTTTTTGTTGCAATCATTTTTATCGTCTAATGGTAATTAAAGGCAACGTTGACCGAAATTATCCACCAAAAGGTTCTAAATAACGTGACTCTCTACGGTGTACTGTGGTTAACTAAGTTAGTATATTGTAAATTGAACTACGGGTTTATGAGTTAGCATATGATAAGATCAAATATTTTTTACGAATTACCTTCTATCAGTATCATTATAATATATACATTGTATATGTTCAAAGAGCCTCTACTTGTACATTGTATATATTACATACCTAATTTATTCATGTTAACAATAAAGGAAATTTGACTTTACTTTGACATGACTTGACATAGTTAATTACGTAAAATTATGAAAATCGTAACTTCAATAACTTTAACATATAGCAATCTCCTCGATGTTTATTTAATTTGTGAAGTGACAAAAAGTGTGACTTGCATTTACATGTGTTACAGTGTGTGTTATTTCATAAACCATCTTCTCAAGATTTTGAAAATGATGTAAATTAATTGCTACGACTTTAAATTCTTCTTTTTGGCACCACAGTCAAATCGGATAAAGGATAAAATCTGGTAAATTGAGAACTAAAAATGCATTGTCACGTGTTTTGAGTTTCTTTCAGAATTATTATTAACCTCGATTTCATATGTCATAAAATTTCTTTAGTTTTCATATGGACTACATTAACAACAATTAAATTAACCTCTTTATTTGCTGATAATAGTATTTACACATATTTTTACAATTATCACTATGTCATGTCCGTGATCATAAGAGGGATTCTTAAACAATCATCTCTTCCATGCTTTTTTATTACAATCTTGGTCACAAAGCTATAAAGGCATCTTTTGTGTTCTTGTTATAAGCTATTTTATATAAATTTTCTATTTTTTACTTTAAAAAAACCGCAATTTCCTATGAACTTCTATTAAATTTGAATGTAAGGCGATGCTCTTTTGCCTTACGCAGATTACACGTGCGGGAAAAATTCTACTTCCGGTCTATTTTTCATCGCAACGGACCGCGTCGTAAAAAGGTCGTTACAGCATTGTTATTCAGTGCGAATGTTTAACAGAAATGGTGAAAAGTCGAAACAACGATAATGAAAAGTCAAAAGTTCGATGATGAAAGCAACGATAGTCAAAAGTTAAAATAATGAAAAATAATGTAAAAAAAAGTCGAAATATCGAGAAGACAATGTTGAAAAGTCTACAGTGCGATGATGAAATGTCAAAATAACGAAACATCGAAACCACGCTGCTTCGATTTTGAAGTCTAAATTTTTGCGGGAAAATTATGTGTAGCTCCGCTAATGGAAATAGTAGATTGTTTGTCTTGTTCAAATCTAGGCACCCCAAGCATCTGTGCCTGATTATGACCGTTGTCTTCAATGGACGCTAGCTTATCCTGTTCTATCTTCAACTGTTTCAGCTGAGGTTTAAATAAAGTTTCCTTTTAAAAGGAAAGGCTTGCACAGTTGTGCCTTCATCCCAACATATTTAGTTGTTTTTATTTTTGTAAAAACGAATATTTTTGTCAAAACGATTTGAAATCTATTCTCTATTGTATAAAACTAATAAAGAAAATAATCAATCGTAAAAATACTAAAATACTGGATATCTATCTATCATATTGAAAGGAAACAAGTGTGCACATTTCATTTCCACTTCGTAACGTGGTACCACTTAATATGCATGTTCACAGATACGATGCGCTATCAATAGATCATCACGTGGTAAGGTTAATGATATGCATGGGCTATTTTTAGATTACCTCACCAAGTTCAGTAGATCTAAATATAACTCGATCATGCACTAATATTCTGTGTGATTTGGACCACCCTTTGAAGACGGAATACTACTACAGCCAACATCCTCTATTGTATAAAACTAATACAGACAAAAAACAATTATAAAAGAAACTAACTTTTGCGTCTTGAAAAAGAATTGAAACGGAACAATTTCGTTTATAATTTATTACGGTTTAAATCAATAAATCAAGTAAAAATACGAATCCTATTTATATAAACAAACTGGGATTACCGAAGTAACTAAAATAGCTTAGATTCCGCAGTATGACGGAATCGCCCGAATTGTCACGATTGCAATCGGAACTACATCGGCTATTATCATTAATCCGAAGACTGACGGAAAAGGCCGAAAAGTTGCGATTGGCACGAGTGCAGCTGGTTTCCCGTTCAATCATGCACCAACAGATGTAAGCAGGAAACCACCTAACCGGAACAAGTTTTCCAGATGAAATGGCTTGCAGCCGTGGCTGCAAGCCAAAAAGATATCTCAATCCGCCATATTATTCATATATTTCATGCTTTATTTTTTGGAAACGAAGACTAAGGAAAGGCGTCGCTTTATCGAGCCTTGCCACTTGTTTGTTGAGCATTTTAACAGAAAATACATCTTATTAGGTCAAAATTCTTTCACTAGCAAACCATTACATGTGTAAACAGACGCACCCGGTTCTATCGACTTTTTTGCAAATGGTTTTATGCTTCATGGTGATAAAGTGATTTTTCACTTTATGGATTACAGCATCACTTACAAAGAATTATTTCCAATTGTGAAATATGAAGTGTAGATTTGTCCTTCACAACAATACAGGTCTACATATTAAGTACATTGTATAAACAATTGTGTAAAGATAAACTAAGCATGTACTTTATCCGTCGCCTAAATATTTGTGATACTGTAATGTTCAGAATATGTCCCGGGTAGACATTATGATTTACAAGATATGTATGCACGTTTATTCACTGACATTCCCATTCTTCCATTTGGTAGACAGAGACCCTGCCGTCAAACCACTTTAGCTACTTAACAGCCGCTGAGACGTATGGGTAACTAGTTTGTTTAAGTGTTCACTTGTAGAAACTGCTGTAGGCGTATAAAAGTGCTTTCAAACTCTTTCGTTCATTTCATATGAAGTATTATGCAATAGTACATCAGGTAAAATCTCGGATTCTAAATCAATTGCTTTCATCTGTATTGTCATATTTCTGGAATTAGCATTTGCGATCGAGTTCCACTCTTGATTTATACATGTATAAAACCAGAAGATAAGGGGTATATTCTTGGGTTGCACTACTACGCATGGATGAAATTTCAACATCAAATTCAGTAACAAAATATGATGAACAACAAGGAAAGGCGGCGTTCAAAAAAACGTTACCCCCACTAGACCCAGCAACAGCTAGTGGCAAGGAACCCAGGAGGACCTAAACAAAAACAGGACAGAGAGCAAGGCAGTGTGCGGACAGGATTATCACTGTATTCTAATACCAAACCCTTGATTATTGTAACAAATGTTACCTGTAACTAATGCTATCACATTTGTAAAAAATAGCTACAAATTTGATTTGGGACGAATGTTGTTAACGATAATGAACAACTTCTGTTATATAAACTTTTATCAGTTTTCTTTGTAAGTACGATAATGAAGGCATAGGGGTGACCGTTAAATTGCAGTAAGTATATAAAAAGTAAAGAAAGACTAACAACGGTTTTGCGGTCTACCCTCAATATACAAACCAAATGAATATTTTGTTTAAAAGCATGTTACTGCATTCGATAAAATTATTGCAGTCAGGTTCATGACATACATGTATATTACTTGATGTAGACAACACAATGCTATTTAAATGTCAATATATGTGTAGCGTCGTCAAATTAGTTTGCGGAATTAACAGTTTACTTAAAATTCATTATCATCTTCAATGGTTGTTGGTGCATTTTCAGTTTGTCCGAGCCGTCCGTTCTCTTGTTCCGTTTGTACACTTGGAAGCCTCATTTTCACTCGGTTTAGAAGAAACTCTTTTAACGCTGTGAGAAAGTAAAGAAAAATGCAAGATTTATTCTTTACAATATAAGGATTGTTTGACATAAATGTGAATAGTAAAGTAAGTCGAGTAAAGAGTAATGTAACCATTTCTGCATTTAACGTAAAGTTTAATATCAAACACCTTTCAGTTACTTTCTGCTATTAAAAACAAGGTATCATGCTTAGCATAAGTTTAAACGAATATATTTATCTCGATTATGCTACTGTAACGAAAACTTTAAGCCCATTAACATCATGAACTAATGGGCCCATTTCCTAACCTTAACAGTACATGTACTCGAAACGTGCAAGGGCCATACGAATTAGAATAAGAATCAACAATTCTTTGGTTAAGTAAGTTACATCTTTTAACAATTGACTGCCGCTTGGTGGATGATCCAGTGATTTTTCATAAAGACCCAAATTGGTATAAAAAAAATGCGCACATAGATGGTATAAGAGGCCAATTCCTTCTCTGAAAAATACAGCTAAAAACTTGCTATTTGTTGTTATAACATCGGCATACCCTACAAATTTCCCCACGAAAACTTACTTTCCTGTGAAATAGTTCCATTTTCATCAAAGTTTATCTCGTTAATAACTTCATCGGCTTCTTCTGGTTCAAAAGGTTCTGATCCCATCTCCGTTAAAATCTTTCTTAGCTCGGACTGAAATAATATACCAACAATTATCATATCATGTTTTAAAATAGATTAAACAGAATCCCCAAAGAAAGCCCAACACGCAAAATTGACAATATTGCAGCCCAACACGCAAAATTGACAATATTGCAGGATCTGTTTGATTGAGCCTGTTCATGGACGGTACCGGAAAGTACAAGTTACTGTCCATGCCTCCTAACACCGGGATTAAATTTGATACTTTTTGTTCTATTTCAGTTATATTCAAGTTATAATCTCATTTGTTTAACACTTTATGGTAGTATTTTTTACATTGCATGCTCAAGAAAAGACCGCAAAAAATCAAATACATATGTATTTGTTTTATCAAGCACGTAATGATACTAATTAAATGACGACAAAAGCCAAATAGCTCAATAAAATGAGAAGACTACATTCAAACGGCGTGATGTAAAGCATCTGTCACACTATATTAAGCAAGCCCACAGTCATAACATGGCGTTTTTTAATATTGAAGAGCTCTCGGCGAAATTGCAAGAAAAATCTAATATTTTTCGAGAAGATTGAGATTTCACGGCGGCTTCACAGTGTTTAAAGTGTTGCTACGGAGATTCCGTGGTGTTAACTTGGGTTCCTATGGAGTTTAAGTTTGCACTAGCATTTTCTGCGACCTCAATTTGTTCACGCCGATCATAATGCGCTTTTACAGAATGCCGTACATTATTCGTACATGCGCAATGTACAATGGCATTTTTAGAACACGTATTTGGATAACAAAAAAACGCCGACAAGTGGCACTCAAAACGGCGTCACTCGGGGTCCTGAGAGTTAAAAGCACGGTTTAATCTCTTACAACGTCACACGAGCACGGTGAAAGTGCACAGAGTCACATTGTGAAAGCTGTTGTTATCCATTGCGCTTGCTCGGATTATGCAGTAATATTTTAGCAATGCTTGCAAATTTACTGCGTTAACCTCTACATTCCGCCGCCCTTGAGTGACAAGAGGTTTTAATATATCAATTTATGTGGACACTCCTTCAGCTATGCAAATTGCCGTCTAAATGACCAACACCATGCGTCGCGCTTAGAGATAGAATGTAATGTGCGTAAACAGAATAACTTACCTTGTTAATTTGTCCATCAAATAGGTCAGTCAATGTCTTCTCAAGAGCGCCGGGAACTTTAGGATGTTCAACGAGATAGTCATGAAACACGTTCTCAAACTCTTCAAATGTTAGTCCGGAACTTTCTAAAATATATTCAAATTATGGCAACAGAATAGCTTTGAAAAACTATTAATGTTAATAACACATGTTTACAATAATATTATGAACATGATAGTTACAGCGTTAATTTCCGCTTTTGAACGTCCCAGACATTCTCTCTTTACTACGTATTCTTGATATAAACATAATGCAATCAGTATTTTTTAACAATGATTTCGAGTACATTCTTTTTTTATTTAGAAGACTGTGCTTTTTCTTTTTAGCGTTAGTTACCAAAAACTTCTTTATACATGTATCAACAAGTTTCATAAAAAAAAATTAACATACCATTTTTATTGTGTTCAAGATAGCGTTTCGCAACATCTTCAGTTGTTGGGTTCATGTTAAAGATCTGTAGCATTTTCTTTGCCCCATATTGGTCGACAACTCCCGAATCTTGAGTTAGATCAAACGCTGTAAGACACACTTGCTGATTATCATACTATATGTAATAACAATTGTGACAGAACGGTTCTATACACGTCATAAATGATTATTCTGATATCACGTGTAACACTTTCATTGACGTAACGGTTCTATACACGTCACAAATGATTACTCTGATATCAAATGTAACAATATCAATTAAGTAACGGATCTATACACGTCACAAATGATTATTCTGATAATAAATGAAACAATATCAATGACGTAACGGTTCTTTACACGTCACAAATGATTATTCTATTATCAAATGTAACACTATTAGTAACGTAACGGCACATGAATTATTATTCTATATTGTGCGTTATGAAATTAGTTAGATGATGGCTCCAAATTATCACATTGGATGCTATATAGAAACTATATTTAGACAGATTTATATTTTAAAAACGTTATTGTTCACATAAATAATAAATACAGACCGTTTGTATGATACATAATTGACTGGCTGAGTTGTAAAATTGTTAAGGTCATAATTATTGCGACATATTTATTGCTGGAAGGAAGACCTCAGGTGCCACTACTAACAATATTTCTGTCACAAGCTGGCACGTGAATAGAACCATCGACGTTCCAAAGTCTAGCTTGATAGCTTCCTCACATGAAAGAATCCATAGTCACTGGTGGGATTTTAACCCACAGCTGTCATTAGAACTGTACCTCAGCACTGTACAGAAGCTATGAGTACCTTGCGAAAGTGAATGAAAGTAGTACTGGTTAACTGATTGACAGCTTGCACAGGAACGATGCGGTGGCTGAACAGTGCTCTGGTAATTTCAATGTGGCTTATTGCCGTGATTCGGGTGGTAAACTACCAACATCACCACCACCCACAACGGTGATGTACACTTGTTTTTGTTCAAGGTGAAAGAAAACTAATATCTCTTACCTCTTCGCAAGTCTTCTAACTGCTCCTGGGTAAGCTCCGTCTGAAATAAAAAAACAACAATAAATTATCTGGGTCACAATATTTACGATATTAAACAAACAAATCAGTGTATGTTTTAAAAAACAACATAAATCAATACATTTAAGGTTAAACTTAATAACATGAGTTTAAACAATTCAATTCTTCATCATCACTTAATAATACTAAAATGTATATATCCGAGACGTATTTTAAGAAAGGAATGAATAAGAATTAAAAACACACCATGTTTTACGCTGAAATATTCCGATTTACACTTGCTAAGCTGCCATTAATTTTTGAAGTTAAAAAAAACACACAAAAATAAAAACACAATGGAATACTTGAACAGACGTTTTATCCAATCATTAACTTGTTTTCAAAAGTGTCTTTTGTTTTAAATGTGATCGTGGTACTGATCATGTTACACCGTGGGTTTGTCTTTCAGATTAAATTTCAATACAGTACAATACTTTAATATATACTTTTAAATGAAATATTGAGAAATATTGTTAAACTAAAATGTATATTTTCATTTTCCGTATTTTCACTGTAAAAGAAATACTTTTTCACTACAGTTAAACATATTTACCGTATTTGCGCTGGAGTATTGCCAGAATAATTTATTCGAAATTCAGTCATTAAAAAATGTGAGCAAACAGGATTGATTTTTTTTTTTCTGAATGATAAAACAAAATAAAATATTTTATTTTTTAAAAATATATAAAATATATTTTCACTTATCATGATAAATTTTCATATACGTATGATATATATCTCGCCGGTGCAGATCGTGAAAATATATTAAATTAAATCATGTTTTGTGAAAATATATTCCATATTTCACCCAAACGAAAATATCTAAAAAGAAATCATTTTATTCATGTCATACATGTCCTTAATAAAACAAAAATTAATATGTATTCGTGGCTTAAACATTTATGTTTATATTACACACAACATATTTAATTTCATAATAAAAAACATAGTTAATAACAACAACAAAGATTTTGGAATGTACGAAATAACGTGTATCGTCGTTATGATGGGAGTTTATCATTTATATAACTTCCGATCACTGTGTCATGTCAATTATTATCATTTTGAGAACACATGAAGTATAATGGTCAGTATATAATCATGGTGTGTATATTATTTATTGTAATATAAACGTGTCTCATATATTTCAGAAGGAAATTACTGGTCATACTCTGGTTGACTCTGGTGAAAATTGAGAAATTGTGACTACTACAGTACTAATGATAAAGGGGGCAATACACAGTTTTCAAGGCTTCTCGGCAAACAACTGACTGCGCCACAATCAAAACCTCACACACAAGTCTGTAATCACACACCTGAAATAAATGCATTTCATATTTAACATATATATATGTATCTCACAGCAAACAATTAAAAATACATGTCCACCTTCTAGTTTTCTGGCACACAGCCCTGTGTTTTTCATTGTTTTGGTCGCGAAAATCAACGACAAAATAAGCGGATTATCCCTATTCGCAAAATACAACAATATATTAACGTCAAAAAATTAAATCACAAGCTCTAGTGTTTCTTCCTTCTTAAACAATGCACAATCTGAAAATAACATCCAAACGGGGTGCCATCCACCTACTTTTTTCACTATTCTAAGTCTTCTGCATACCCTTTAAATTGAAGAGCTGATTCACCGGCTAGCTCCAGAAACCACACGTTCGCATCCGACAGGTACTCTCTCATAAAAACAAGGGTCAACGCCACTAAATTCAATTTTACTAAATAGCTAAAACATAATACTAGTCATTGAAACTTGAAATATAGTAACTATAAACATTTAGAACCTCAAATATCCACTTTAATTTCAAAACTGTCTCTTATTTGTAAATTCCACCCTGGCCAATTCGAAACTAAACAGCCGAAACTGTGTACTGCCTCCAAAAATCCGGGTTTTTGTTGAACTTGATACACTATGTATACTTTCGCGAACCGTCATTCAAAGGGAGACAACCAAAAGAAGTGTTCAACTAAATACAAGAGCGGAAATGTTAAGTAATTAACTTATTTCTTGATCAGTTTTAAGTGATATACTCTATAAATTATAAGTTGAAAATATCTTTACCAGAAGTAAAGACAAAAGTCCATCTATCATATACAAGTACAGTACTAAGATTATAATAGCAGACGACAAAATCTTCAAGTTGAATAACACACTTCACCAACCAGCTTAGAGTAGGGTTGTCTAATGCATCAGCAACTTCTAAATTCAATTGTACATTATATCTACGTTTGACTTTCTTAAAGTATAAAGGTGGTGTTATATTATATAACCCGAGCCACTATACGGTGTTATATTATATAACCTGAGCCACTAGACGGTGTTATATTACCAATAAACGTTTATACACGGTCATATCACATGTAAGAAATCTTTATAACGAATTTATAATTCAGCAAAATTTCGTTATTTTATATATAGAATATTTAATCTTAAACTGACAGCAGCTGTGTATATAAATTAAATGAACGACGCGATTATATAAAGGAAAGCGCAGTATTATAATATACCTTTTGTATAATGTCGTTTTTATCTTCTTTAGAAATAGATACATATCTAAATACAAAAACGCTGTGTTACTGTATATATACTATGTATAATATAAAGAATATTATTATAGTTAAAGATGGATAATTATATTTCCTCATGTATTTCAATAGCTGGAAAAAAGCAATATCGGAGGAGGCCATAATTTTTCCACATAAACGTATATTCCTGTATCGGATAGGGCACTAACCCTGTAACAATTATATCAAGCTACTTGGCTCATCATCATCATCATCATCAACAATAACAACATCATTATCATCATCTGACATCATCATCATCATCATCATCATCATTTGACATCATCATCAGTATCGTCATCATTATTTGACAGGGACAA